GGGTTATGTACCTTTATCCAAGGTATTCCTAGCATAACAGGGTAGTGTACTAACTAGATAATATAGAACCTCACATCTTTCTTATAATGGTCCTCAATTCTCATATCTATCTAGACATAGTGGGTTATCTTCCTATTCTCTAGTTCTCTTCCATCAAATATATGTAGGGTTATTAGGTCTTCTAGGGGGATGGGCTCTAGCTTCTGGTCTTTAGCCCATCCTTTATCAATAAATCCTCATCCTTCAGCTCTGGTATCTAATAGGGCATAAGTTAGTAACTTCATCTTCTTCTCCTTCTCTAAGGTCACAGGTAGTATTATAGCCTTTAATTATTATATTTGCTCCTTAAGGTCTAGTCTATAAATAGCGGCAGCAGATATTCAAATAATACATAGATTCTAAGCCTGGTTGCAGCTTACTCTAGGCTCACTCTTTTTACTAAGGAGGTCTGGCTTAGAGATGGGCTTCTAGATTCTGGAATCCATCCTCTCTAGGGACTCTCTGGGCGTGGTTCATAAGAGGCCATGATCTGAACCCTTTGGCGGGTATCAGGATAGGGGCAGTCCCTAATCTGGTGTTCCAGGGAACCACAGTGGAAGCAGGCACCTGTCTCATAGCAGGAGGGGCTATATCCCCTTCTCATTAGGCGTCAGGTAGTGCCTAGGTCCATGGGGTTGTATTATTGCGCTAACATATGCTCATTCCTCTGAATAGCAGGGCGCTAGGGTTGCTTAGTAGACTTAGCAGCGACAGGGCCAGGGCTCTGGGGTGACTAGGGGCGTTAGGCAGGTCTGGCAGTAATAGCGTAGGTTTTAATAACAGGAGGCTGGTTTGTGGTATACTAGCAGTGGTGGTTCTCAAGCTCCTGCAGGAATCTGGCAAACTGGTAATACTCCTGGCTTAGAGGCTAGTTATGCATGAGTATGCTTTAGAGTTTGTGACTAATAGCCTGTTTAAGCAGGGTAGACAGGGTCTCTTTAGGTATCTTACCTTCCAGGGCCAGGTGTTAGAATTTGGTGAAGAAGGTGCCAAACTCTTTATTAGTCTAATGCAGGCTGAATAGCTCATTATAGGCATTATTCACATAGTTAGGGTCACCAAAGGCGCACTCCAGGATATCCAGGATGTCTTAGTAGTTGTTAAGGGTGCAAATTCCCTTCCTGATATAAGGAAGAATCTGAGTGTATGGCGCGCCCTTTAGGTGGTTATTTACATAAGCTATCTAGCTCTGTGGTGTTAGGAAGCAGTTAAGGTTAATATTTATTTCCTCTTAAATCTGGGCTATGAAGCACTAAAGGTCCTTTTAGTTGCCTTTAAACTTATTAGGGTTAGGGAGTCATTCTGATAATCTAGTAGCTTTGGAAGATAGGGTAGTAATTAATGCAGGCACTCCCACTAGAGCAACTACAGGCTTCTTAGTAACAGGCTTATGCACAGGCATAGATATGGGCGTATTCACAGTAGGGGTAGCTTTATATACTGCTGTTCTTTCTCATGTAGTTACTCCTTCTGGTACTGCTGAACAGCTCTTAGCTTAGTAATCTCTTATTTACGCCTCTGCTCTAAGGCAGTGAATTCACACTGGAGTTCCAGGAATTAGGCCTTGGATTGTTTGGCTTGTTGGTTTACTTCATTAATAGTTGATTCAGCTTTCTAGATGTACTCATACACTAGGTGGCAGTATTCATACCATTCAGTGCCATGGCTAGCAACGTGCTCAGAGAACTCTTTAGGGGCACCCAGCAGGAATAGGGGCAGAGGGGCAGGCATTCTGACAGTGTTAACTCTGGGGAGGGAGCTATGTAATGTTAAGGTGCGGGCTTGTAAGTAAATAGAAGTAGGTTAATGAGGTAGTTAATACTCAGGCTGGCTACAGTGGTCTCTATCTATCTATTTAGGCTGCAGGGCCGGCTGGTACAGGCAGGCTCTATAGATAGGATGTAGCTCAAAGAGCTTTAAATAGGTTTCAGAATTGTGTGGTGAAGATATTCCCAAGGTCACGTGATTCCTCCTCAGTGATGCCAACTCCTATTCACAGCAGCACTGTGACAAAACTAAGCTAGGTATACCTACTTAACTATTATATCTATATTAACTAAGAATTACTAATATAGCTATGCAGTATAATAGGCTATATTAAAGATATCTATTTAGGTAAATATATAGAATATATATTATATATAAAGTATAAGACAGCTTACTTTCTCTGCCTAAGTCTTATTAATATACTCTATATCTAGTAATAGTGCCTTCTTAATAGTATTATTAGGAGCACTACTTTTAGTAGTAGTCTAGTTATTAGCTATATAGTAAGTAGAATAGTCTAGAGTAGGTATAACTATTAGAGTTGCATAACCGAACCACAAAAATTGAACCCAACCCTCACCGAACTCGCAGCGGTGTGGGTTCGGGGGTAAGCCTAGGGAATCGCTTCGGGTTCGGTTTCTATACCCCAGAACCATTTCGGGTTCGGTTAAAACCGTACGGTTATTTCTTGCTTACTAATACCTAATTCCTAGGATTTAGCTAATAACTTTTATATTACTAGATAGCCTAGATTCAGGGCTATCTGGTGATATAAATATCGATTCAAAATACCTAGTGGTTGCTAAGATATTAAGGAATGATCACTTTTGTCATGAGTTGGTATGAAAGTGGTGCGGATATATATATATAAGGGCACCAAGGTCTGATAACCACCATGGTTTAGATATATTTGTAACCACCACCCATTCAGACCTATAGATATTGAATTGATATTTTAAATATAGCTTAGTATGATGATAATTACTATATATTTCATATAAAAATTATAATTTTATATAAGCATGCTTGATAGGCTGAGAGAATAGGCCTAAGGTAGGAGAAATTGAATTCTGAAAACCATTGAAATTTTGGTTATTGCCTAGGCATACCGCTGGCCTAGATAGGTTAGTAGGGGCCTAGCTATACCTAGCTAGGCATAGTGGCGGGTTCTTGCGGTGAAACTGCAACCAAATCGCACTGGGTCCGGGGGGGTTGCGAGTTCTAAAATTTGAACCCAAAACCGCAGCGGTTCGGGGCCAACTAGGCTGGAACCCGCCTGAACCCGCACCAAATGCAACTCTAATAACTATAGGCATGCCTTACTCTAATAGTATAGTTAGCAGTATATTATAACCCTAGCTAGGTGTTCTATATAGGAAGATTAAGATATAATAAAGAGGCATATATAAAGGGTAACTAGAGTTAATATAGATTATATTAGATTAATCTATACTAGGCCAGAGTATAAGCTATAAATCTTAGAAGGTCTACTAATTAAAATCCTAGCTAAGATATAGAATAATAGCTGTAACCTTAGCTAATATTAGTAGATTAAAGTAATAATAGTCTATACTAATCTCTATAACTAACTATAGCTCTAGTAATAGTATAATTAAGATAGAGGTAGTCTAATCCTAGATAAGAAGTAGCTGCTTATATACAGTTATATAAATAGATATTTAGGGGTTATGTAGCTGTAACTTATATATTAACTCTAAAAGAATTCTATCTTTAAGGTTGCTATCTTAATCTAAACAGACTATATTTATATACTCTAGGTCTAAGAACTATATCTATATAAATACTAGAGCTATTCCTTTAGTAGCTTCTAGGGGCCTATACAGGTAGAATAGCTTACCCTAAATCTAGAATAGGAGATAGTTACTAGCAACATACATATCTGTATAGTAGTTTATAGATATAAAATATAGAGCACTATTATAGTAATGGATATAATATTAAAAGTTAGTTGCCTCAGCAGTGATATCTATAAGATAGGAATACAGAGACTAAGGAGGGGAATAAAATAGCTCTAATTATACTTTACCTTATAAATAGTACTTTATAAAGATAGAAGAAGTAATAGAGGAACCCTACTTATACTCTATAATCTAATATAGAGCCTTATAGTAGTAACAGGCATATTCTATATAGCCTAGATCTAAGGTTTTCTAATAATCATAGTAAGACTAAAATATAAGAGGGAATACTAATAAATAGGCTGTAGTAGTAGGCAATAGCTCTAGAGATTATATATATAGGTAAGGATGGCTGCTAGGGATAGGCTCAGGCTCAGGAGTTATGGAATATAACTAAGGATGGCCACTAGGGACAGGTAATAGCTCTAGAGATTATATATATAGGTAAGGATAACTACTAGGGACAGGTAACAGCTCTAGAGATTATATACATAGGTAAGAGTAATTACTAGGGATAGGTAATAGCTCTAGAGTTATAGAATATAACTAAGAGTAACTATAATAATAGGGAATAGCTATAGGAACTATAGTAATTACTAGAGATAAAGGACTTATAGAAGGAGAAGGGGAATATATATCTATAGGAGTAAACTAAAACCTCTTACTATAGGCCTAAGGAGTAAAATTCCTATTAATATATAAAGAGAAGAAGTAATAAAGATATAAAGATTATACTAAGTAGTTACTATAGGTATAATTATAAGTAAATAAATTATTTTCTTTCTATTTCTTACAGATATAGTAGCAAAACTATAATAGAGATATATTAGAAGAAGTATAAGAAGTATAGTAACTATAGTAGTTAATTATCTAAATTATATAATTCTAATAGGGTGCAGGGAGGGCCATAGTAGGTATATAGTAAAAAGTAAATAAATAGGATGCTAAACTAAAAAAGGGAATTTTATAAATAATAGGTGATTATTAAGTAATTATTAAGTGATTATTAAGTAATTATTCAGCATTCTCCACTATTATTTCTTTATGTATATAGATACCAGGTCCACCAGTGTAAACAACTGGTGGGTGCTACTTAGTCAACATAGCTAGCCTTGATTCCTCAGGCAGCAACACCTCCAAGGTTTCTCCGCAACGTGACGGGTGCCTGCTCTGTTCTTGAATCGCGATTATCCTTTATCATCATCACTATACTTGTCAGTCCTTTCAATCACTTCATGGAGCCTGGAAACTCCTTGATCAAAGCGCATTGTTCCCATGGCTCCTGGTCCTTTTAGGAGAAAGCCTCTGGGGCTCGATGTACCCCGCAACCCTACTCCTGACTCGCCGCCTGGGATTGCGGCGCTATTCGTCATCCGCTTCGATATCAAGGCTGGGTGAGATTTACCATCAGCTTGCTTGTTTCAGTGCAAATCTGTGGCCTACGGCGACTGACTACGAGCATTCACCTAGATACGTAATTTCATGGAAACGTACCATTCCTGGAGGTGAGTGTCAGTTATCATCGAGAAGTGGGAGCCACTGAAGCTGACGTAGCCGGATCTTTAGTTGAGATAGAAGGAGTCGTCGAATACAAATCGCTTCCGTCGGGTCTTCATAATGTCTCAGAGGATCTAGTGTACGCTGACGACCGATTGGTTGCCTTCCGTGTGCTAATGAATTGTCATTGCCTAGATATTTCGTCCATGAACAGTATGCCGGGATCAGTTCGTTCGTCAACCAACCCGCGGAAGAAGCAGAGCGCAATGCGCAGATGTTTGCCGTGGGGATTCTGGTCCCCTTGAGCTTTGGTAGACTCGGGAAAAGTTGGAGGCACGCTCCAAGGCTAAAGGAATTGGCAGAGTGGGTGAGATCTCTCATGGCTCGAAGTACCGTCTGACATGGTCGATGCAGGACCTATGCCAAGGATATGACAAACACTCAACCTTTGTTGGACTACTGGGATAACTTTGAGATTCGCGTGAACGATGCATCGACCATACCTGCTGATTCTCCGCTGGAATCACCTGTCAGCCTCAGGTTCAGAGAGCGACCGGACAACTTACAGCGTAATCGCGCATTCAGCGACGCAATAGTACTGGAAGCGTCCAGGCCGGCCCTAACGCCTTTCCATCCAGCGTCGTCACTTCCCGAATTCCTTGACTCTTTCGGTCCTTTGATATTCCCCTTGTACAGAGCAGCATTATTACGCAAGCGTATTCTTTTCATGGCCGAAGCGCCAGTCCATATACCCTGTAACTATGGTAAATGGGATCCTCCCGCGCCCAACCCCCCTTGGCCCTTGCTAACAAAAGCAGTATATGATTTGTCGTTGTTAGCATCGCTACCGAATTACCTTCTTCCACTGCTTCCACCTGGCGGTTCACTTCCTCCCCGACCTCGCGCGCTGTTCAATATCGGCATCCATGATATACCCTACATTTCATCGTTCGTGAACGTCTCTGCGAAGACTGAGCCCGATGCCGCTTGGATAGCCTGCAGCACAGACAGTGTGCTTAGCATGAAAAGCGAGCTCTTCGACGTCCTGGTTACTCTGCCTGCGCCACATGCTAGCAACGCAGCCCAAAAAGTCTTCCCTAAAATTTCCGTCTTGCCTAACCGAAGCGCGCAGCATAACTCGTCTCAAGCAATCTACCTGAAAGCCACACAGCGCGATGCGCGACGCTACACCATCCTCCGCAGGGGCTTACACCACATCTCCCACGATAACACTGCATCTGGTGAAGATGAGGACTCCGATGCTGCATCTACGTACTCATCCAGTCCGGTCGTCGAGCCCCTGTCGTGGACACGCCTAGCCTACACATCCTTCATCTGGTGGGCATCCGCAGGCGAGAAGCGTGACGGACTCACGGAAGAAGAGGAAGAAGAGCGCCAAATTGAGCAAGACACGCGACTCCTAGCCAGCTTGGAAGCCATGCCGACCCCGTCCTCAGGATCTCTTGGCCGCCATTCCATGCCAGCGGAGGACGCTTCGCAACCTCCCGAAATCGCACTGGTCGCCTACTTCCGTCGCCTGACGACCCAGCTCTTCGTTACGTTGTCGGACGTGATTGCCCGTCAGGACGGCAGAAACGACGAACAGGATGAGGATATCGGCGCCCCGTACGAGGACGAACCGGAGGAAGCGGATGCCGAACCCTCTATCTCCGTTGGCAGGGAAGTTTCGCAAGGAGACGACTCGAGACGGCCCTTACTGCCATCTAGGGCCAAGTCCTCACCTGAGGATGACGAGCCGGTGACTATCACCTCCGAGGATATGACTGAGATGGGCCTCGATGTGTGGAGTGCTTCCGACCGCGTCTTTGTCGAGGAGTTGGTGCAGTCATGGTGGGGTCGCGAAGCCTACATTGATAGCGCGCGTATTAAGTGCTGTGGGATTTCGATCGTTTGACGAGGTTCTTGACAAGGGCCAACGGCCCACATCGATCTTGTCATGGTAAATATCCATTTGCAATTTGATATATATACAACGTTAACCTCAACGGACATGTTCGGAACTTCAAATGACGGGAGAGGTATCTCATTCATGGTATTCGGTTGGGTTCGTAAGGATTATGTGCTGGTAATCATATAGCCACAGAAGCAGGATTTTATGTACCTTAATATGCTTGACAAAGGAAAATGGGGAGACCATGCAAATCTCAGAATGAATGTGATGGTGCCATGCTGCGCTTAACCATAAGCAAACAAAAAAAGCATTGTCCTTTGCCGCAAGTATCGTAAGCCGAGGTTATATACCAGCAGGAGAAGTTCAACTCAGCTCAGCTCATAGCAATCCAAAAGAAAAGGTACCCCAAAAGAGCAAGAAGCTCCATTTAATTAGCCCGAGAAAACCCCAAATCAAACGCCATCTCATTTAGACATCAGGGTATCAAACGAAGATCGGTCAACAATCGACAACAGCTCAAGTATGATGTGCTCAGACATCAATGCACTCTGTTCGCATCAAGGAGGAACGAGGTTTACCGGCGGAACATCCTGACCGGAGCACTTAGATCTCGTCGTACAGCCTTATCCCCGTCAGTTCTCACTGCCGAGTTCTGAACGCCAGGGATTCTTTGCGCACCCCGACCCGGTGTGACACCGCCTCCTCCCGAGCGAAGGGTAGCCTCATTAGCGCTGACAGATCTTTTCATTGTATTAGTCTTTCCTCTTCGTGCTCGAATTTGCGCTAGAGCTTGTTCTCTATCGATGGACGTTCCAGGCAGGGGAACAGAATGAGGAGCGAGCGCACCATCTGATTCTGTAGGTGCATTGCGATTATCTTCAATACTGTACCGTGGTGAAGGAGAATCCCAAGGGACACTGATACGAGCTGGGGATGGTTGAAGACCTGGAGCGAAAGGTTGGACCGAGTCCTCTTCTTTAACTTGCACCATGGGCCCAAAGGACGGCTCGTGCCGACTAATATGCCTTTCTTCGAAAGGACTAATGAGCAACTGCTCGGCTGACAGGCTTTCGTGAGAGATCGATGATTCGAGAGCGCTTGAAGCTGTGCCTTGGGGTTGTTTAGGAGGTGATCGAACTGGAGACGGGACGGATTTGAAAGTTCCCGTCACGGGCGAGAAAGTTATCAAGAGTTCCTCTGGTTGTTCTTGGGGCCTTGCCTGCGCCGGAGGCCCAGACCCCTGCAGAGGGTTGTCAAAGTGTGAATGATGTTGGGCTTCAGGGCCACGGATGTCATGGCGGTCTTCTTCGATGATGGTTTGAACCCCGTCTTTGGCTACGACATCATCGCGGGTTGGCGCATGGACTAGATGGGCCTGTTCCTCTTCGTCTGCAAGCCTGCAGGAGCATCGCTTGAATTCGCACTCCATTCTCAGAAACTCAATCATGTCCTCGGCATCGAGTCTCATTTTTCTCTCATGCTTGAGCGTTTCTTCGAGGTCATCGATTATCTCTTGCTGAGTGTTTGTGGATAGTGTTTTTTGATCACCTTGCCGAGGTGTCACATCTGAAAGTCTTAGTCTCTTTGGAGGAGTGTCTTGCGCCGTAGTCTGATCTGTAGATTCCACAAGCGGTGAGTGCGTCGAATCCTCAGCAGGCCGCTTTGGCCTGCGAGGTGCCGGGGTAAGCATGAACGCGAGATCCCCTTCTGCCAGCGATAGTCTTCCGATATTTTCGTTACCCATTTCTTTTGCTCGGGCCTCAAGGCTGTCGGAGCGACGATTGGCTTCAACATTGCGCAAGCGTCCTTTGAGGACTTCCAGCTCTTCAGTCAAGCCAGCAAGTGCGTATGCTCGCTCAAATGCCTCTTGCTTCGCTTGTTCCTTTGCCGCTCGCTCGCAGAGAACTTCCTCCTTCAATCCTCTGGTCTCCGACCGTGCGTGTTTCAGTTCCTCCTGTAATTTAACCAGAGCGGAACCCGCGCGAAAAGCCTCTTTTCTTGCCTTCCTAATTTCTTTTTCAAAGACTGATCGTTCATGCGCCTGCCGTTCTTTGGCTGCTTGAAGTTCTTCTAGCAATGATTCGAGTCGCTCGCTTATGCGACGTTCTCGTGATTGTGCCTCGGAAAGCTGAGCGGAGACACTGGCTAGAGTAGATTCCGCCTCTTCGCGTCCGAGTAGTGCTCTCTGTAGCGCCGCCGAAGTACCAGATGATGTTGATGGCTGTGGTGTATTTGCCGGGCTGTTTCCACGAGACAGATTGTTCAAGTACGCTACTCTTGCCTGAACGTCGGACATCCCCCTTGTCTTCTTCCGTTGCTGTATATCCAGAATATCCGATTGCCGTGACGGTGAGCTAGGAATGGTCTGCTGTTGATTCATCCGCTCAGGCGAGAGTGGATGGAGTATTTTCGTAGGACTGGACAGAATTGGAGAGTCCATCGCGAATAGCTGTTGATGGGTGTCAGACCAAAGGTGATACGGTCCGTCTGGTGCTAATCAAGCATGACAATCGCTGAAAACGTTTGCGATTGTAAGGTATCGAGGTGGAGGGGGGCGCTTGGGTTAACACTTGAATCTGATTGTCAGGCCTTTATCGAACTGACGCACCCACAACACAAACGCCAAACATGTTTGTTCAGTTCTTGCCTCATGTGGTAAGCGTCAGGTGACTGTTGCTCCGGACAACCAAGCTATACTATATTAAGTATGTGGGCTGCACGTGTTTGATAAGGAGGCACTAAGCTTAATAAGGCATCCAGCTCCAGGTGGTCCGTGCTTCATGATGCGATAACAGTTTGAGTCTGAGATATTTCCCTGCGGGGTTTGTTCGAATTTGTCTTATTCTACCGCATTTGTTCTGCCTTCTCCCTTCGAAACCTGATGTATGATCTGAATTTGGCTTGTATGTACCAATGTGCGCTCGCTATCATTTGACCTTGGATGATGATGCTAGAATCGCCTAAATTCAAGCCGACCTATTTCCTCACTAGCATATCTGCAGCACTCATACATCTCTAGACTCAGCGCAAAATGCATGAAATTCTTACTCTACAACTGGGGCAACGAGCAAATTACCTGGCTACGCATTTTTGGAATCTTCAGGTTAGCAGAGCCTTTTCTCCCTATTGCTCCATTGTGACCTTCAACTCATGCCTTGAAGGAATCATACTTCACATACAGTGAAGCGGAAGAAACACTAATCGATCATGATGTCCATTTTCGACCTGGCATTGGGGCGGATGGGTCGGAAACTTACACTCCGAGGACGCTGGTTTATGACTTGAAAGGTGCTTTTGGGTCCCTACGCAAGCATAATGCCCTCTATGAGTTGAGCACAGATGCAGATCCCGGGCAAGGCCTATGGTAAAGTTGCTTCTTTCCGCTCAGCTGTTTATTCAGAGATCTCCATGGATAGGGCTCACTTTGGACTTTTTTTCTGTGTCAGGGACGGAAAAGAAGTCATACAGCGACAAACACCAATCATCCCGAGCGAGTATCAAAAACACCTGGAGCAAGGGCTTCCGGCACCGGTTCTCTCCTCCGATACCGTGCGCTACTGGTCAGACTATAACCGGTTGTTCTATCATCCGCGTTCAATAGTGCAGCTCAATGATTACGAGTTGAATTCAAAGATTATGCCTTTCGAAGATTGGAATGTCGGGGAAGATTTGTTTGGAGAACTGGACAAAGAGCATGACCTACTCGACCGAGACTTGAGACCTTTTGCGGAAGAATGCGATCAATTGCGAGCCCTCCAATTATTCACAAGCTCCGATGATGCTTGGGGTGGATTTGCCGCAAAGTATGTGGATAGGCTAAGAGATGAATTTGGTAAAAAAGCTGTTTGGGTATGGGCGATCGAAGGTGGAAAGAAGGTTCAAAGAGTGAGTCTCTTCCCTACCAGATGTCTTAACTGAAACTCATTCCATTCATTCCATACAGCACAACCAACTTAAGCGCGATATGAACAAAGCACGATCTATACACTCCATCTCCCCACAGTCGTCGCTGTACGTGCCTATTCTAGACCCACCGACTCGTCTCCCCAAAACAATTAGCCTCGACGCTCAGTCGGAATGGCAGACTTCAGCACTTATCAGTACTGCGATGGAGACGGCGACGCTACCCACCCGTCTTCGTTCTTATACGGATTTTGAGACATCTCTAGCAGGAGAAGATGGCTCCCACAAGATTTTCGAGCTGCAATCTAAGATACTGCCTGAGGACATGAGCAATCATACACGACCCTTTCAAAATCCAGAAGATCGGGGGACACATAAATCGAAAGGGGAATCCTCGAAAGTTAGGAGAGAGTTTGACTTGGACTTCTCCTATGATGATCCGAACAACGGTGACTCGCATATATTCAATCAAGTTCAAGTTGGCCGTGGATATAGTCCGGAGAAAGAGGTGCCCGAATCCAGGAAAGATCTTGGGTTAAAGCGCAAGGAACGCTTTTATAACTCTGAACCAATGCTCGAAAGGTGAGTGAAGACGCTATGCCATTAATAGAGATTTTATGATGCTAATCGACAACGATAATATAGCTTTTACATCCCACTAGCATTCCCCATCTTGGACAGCTCTCCTCGCAACATGTTCTCAGTGAGGCATAAGGACGCAAAGATCAACGTCCTTGCAGCGCTGACTGCTTCATCGCGAACAGCAACAAAGCTCAAGGCTATGGAAGCGGTGGCTGGGCGGGTTATCGGAGTTGATGAACGAGAGAATCTCGTTAATGGCCTGGGAGAGATTCGTGAATCTTATGAGACAGTGTGGATGAGTGATTCAGATTTCGATGACGATTGAGCAGCATAGATCACCTTTGGAACCATAACCCGATGCCCTTGGTTGAGGACAAGTACTAGATACACGAAGAATAATGAAACAGAAGAAGTCAAAATGATTGAATCGCGTAGTCCAATGTAGAAAGGCTGGACCCTGCAAAGGTGGCCGATCTTCTAGGTAAAGAATGCAAAATTGCTGTATCGAGTATGTTTGCATCACATACATCCAAACGTGTCCTTATCGAGGTCCGCAACAACTATTTGGGGCTCTTTAACTTTGCAAACCCATTCTTTATGCTTACTGCCAGGTGGCCATTTGTATAGGGTTTGGCTGCACTCTTGATGGATTCCTCTACTTAATGACTTGTACGTCTGCATGCATCCCCAAGCCCAATCCGCTCACACGGCACTGACGTATGGTCAATTCCTATAGTTCACGACAAGCTCCACTACCGTGATTCGTGATACATGAATGTACAGCCCCTTTTGCACCGATCCTTCTCTCGACAATTGCTAGGGAAAGGCTTTTGAGGGACTGTTGTAGACTATCTATCTTTCCCGATTCGCGTCTGCTCATTCGAGGTATGCTCCTAGACTCTTCCTCCCAGGGTGCTTAGTACATTGTCTGACCTCTATTATCGCGATAGCAATACTCCCAAGATGGCTCCTCCTGGATATCGATTGAGAGCATCATCACTTTCCCCAGTCTTCTCCTTCCTCATTCTTCCATTTCTAGTCTTCTTCCTCAGCTTCCCGGCTCCTACCTCCGCTGCTGGATCGGCAGTTCTCGGTGTCGACGTAGGTACCGAGTATATCAAGGCCGCGCTTGTCAAACCCGGCATTCCGCTTGAGATTGTGCTCACCAAAGACTCGAAACGAAAGGAGTCGGCAGCCGTTGCGTTCAAACCTACAAGAGAAAGCAATGCTCCATTCCCTGAGAGATTCTACGGCGGTGACGCGCTAGCCCTTGCGGCCCGTTATCCGGACGATGTTTACGCAAACCTGAAGGCCTTGCTCGGAGTTCATTTTGAGAATGGCGACAATGAGATGGTTAAGACCTATCATAGCCGATATCCCGCCTTGAGATTGGAAGCTGCCCCTGGTGAGCGGCGTACGGTTGGACTGCGCAGCAATAGGCTGGGCGAGGCTGAAAGAAAAGATGCGTTCCTTGTTGAGGAGCTCTTAGCCATGCAGCTGAAGCAGATCAAGGGTAATGCCGACAGTCTGGCCGGAAAGGGCTCCGACGTTAGGGACGTGATCATTACATATCCCTCGTTCTACACCGCTGAAGAAAAGAGAAGCTTAGAGTTGGCAGCGGAATTGGCAGGTTTGAAAGTTGATGCTCTTATCAGTGATAACCTTGCTGTCGGCCTGAACTACGCCACCAGCCGTACTTTCCCCAGCGTCTCCGAGGGCCAGAAACCCGAGTATCATATTGTCTATGACATGGGAGCCGGATCCACCACGGCAAGTGTCATACGCTTCCAAAGTCGTGCAGTGAAGGATGTTGGGAAATTCAACAAGACTGTACAGGAAGTTCAGGTCTTGGGAACCGGCTGGGACAGGACACTTGGAGGAGATTCTCTGAACGATCTGATCGTGCAGGACATGGTCGCAAATCTAGTCGAGGATAAGAAATTGAACGGCCGCGCAACTCCCGCTGAAATCCAGGCGCATGGTAAAACCATGGCAAGGCTTTGGAAGGACGCCGAGAAGGTTCGCCAAGTGTTGAGCGCCAACACCGAGACGGGCGCCAGTTTTGAGAGTCTTTATGAGGAAGATTTGAATTTCAAATATCGTATCACTCGACCCAAATTCGAGGAGCTTGCTGCGGATCACATCGCTCGTATCGGAGGACCTATTGAGCGATCTCTGGCGGCGGCTGGGCTACAGCTCAGTGACATCGACTCTATTATTCTCCACGGTGGCGCTATCCGCACACCATTCGTACAGAAGGAGCTTGAACGCATCGCTAGATCTTCTGACAAGATCAGAACAAGCGTGAACGCTGATGAGGCAGCGGTATTTGGTGCTGCATTCAAGGGAGCTGCTCTGAGCCCCAGTTTCCGCGTCAAAGATATTAGAGCCAGCGATGTCTCGAGTTACGCTGTTCTGCTCAGGTGGGCCTCGGAGACCAAGGAAAGACAGCAGAAGCTCTTTACTCCGACTTCCCAAGTTGGTCCCGAGAAACAGGTTACAATGAAGAATCTGGATGATTTTGAGTTCAGCTTCTATCAACAAATTCCCACCGGCGATGAGGTGGTCGAGTCGCCGGTTCTCCGTGTGCAAACCCAAAATCTAACTGCTTCTGTCGCCCAGCTGAAAGAGAAGTTCGGTTGCTCGCCAGCCAATATCACTACGAAGTTTTCCATGCGTCTCAGTCCCGTTGACGGACTTCCTGAAGTTACGGGTGGATCCGTTAGCTGTGAAGTCGAGAGCGTAAAGAAGGGAAGCGTCGTTGAAGATGTGAAGGGTTTCTTCGGGCTTGGGTCCAAGAAGGATGAACAGGCACCGCTCGGTGAAGAAGGAGAGCCCACAGAGTCAATTACGCTGGAAGCAGAAGAACCCCAAGTCTCGACAACATCCTCTGCCGCCGAAGCTTCCACAACGTCCACCAAGGAGACCAAGAAGGCTGCACCGCAGATCAAAGTGGAACTGATTCCCGTTAGCTTCACGACGTCGCCCCTTGGAACTCCTGCGCCATCGGATAGCGAAATGACTCGTATTCAGACCCGTCTGTCTGCCTTCGATGCTTCTGATCGGGATCGTATTCTGCGCGAGGAGGCTCTTAATGAATTGGAGTCTTTTATCTATCGGAGCCGGGATCTGGCTGACGACGAGGAATTTGTCAAAGCGCTCAAAGCCGATCAGCTGGCCGAACTCCAGGAGAAAACCGCCTCTGCCAGCGACTGGCTCTATGGCGATGGTGCTGACGCTACAACATCCGAGTTCCGGGCCAAACTTAAGTCTTTGAAGGATATCGTCAACCCTGCTCTGAAGAGAAAACAGGAGAATGCGAATCGGCCGGCTCGTGTTCAGCTTCTTCAAGACTTGTTGAAGAACTCGAAAACCATTCTGGACATTTTGCAGAAGCAGATTGAACAAGACGAAGAGCTCTACTCCTCGAGTCTCTCTAGTGCAACCTCCACCCAATCCAAGGAGAGCTCATCTTCCACTACCTCGACAGCATCTTCCAGCGAGTCGTCTTCGACGACCGCCGATCCTCTCGACGATCTCGAGAAGGACCCCTACACAACGTCCGCATCCGAGACCACCTCGACCACCACAACCCCTAAACCCACCGGCCCGAAGTACTCGATCTTCCATCCCTCCGACCTCTCCAGCCTCACCAAGGTCTACGAGTCCACAAATACCTGGCTCGAAACCCAGCTCGCCCTCCAGGAGAAGCTGGCAGAGTCCGACGACCCGGCTTTGACAGTCGCAGAGATCGACACCCGTCTCAAGGAACTGGAACGGACCATGAACCGAATCTACGAGAAGATGGGCGCCGCGGCAGCCAGGTCTGGTAAATCGTCCGGGGACCAGTCGAAGGAGAACGGCAAGGGCAATGCCCAGAAGCCCAAGAAGGACAAGGGGAAGAAGGAAAAGGCCGAGAAGGCCAAGGCTCCTCCCAAGGATGAATTGTAAACAAAACACGTATCTGATTAATGATTTGTACTAGACTCTTAAATACACCTACTTGCAGCAAACCGGTAGAATTTGCCTTCGAGCAATTTAGTCAAGTTACTGTTACTCAAGACCTCTTTTCCAGGATTGCCTTGACCATTTTTCACATGAAAGATTAAGGTTACAATCACTATGGCTGGCAACCATGCACGTGGATTGAAGCAGAATAACTCGCTGTTATACAGTAAAATTGTCAAAGCGCCTATTCCATAAGATACATGCCAGATTCGGCTCGATGAAAAACAGGAAAAGCTTCCCGAGAATCTAGGGTATTCGTACATCCATTGCCTTGTAAAATCACATCAGACAGGCAGAAACAGAAGATGTGATGAGGGCAAATGTGTGAGTAAACATATACAGAGAAACGAAAAGAAGACTAGGGAAGAACTTCGACAGCCCCTGCCGCAGACTCCTGAATATATCACTGAAACCAGCTCAGCGTTGAAAAGCATGAAATGCCTCATGCCCCTCCCATTTCAACCTCACAACCCCCCATTCGAGCAGGCAAGTAATCGGTATCAACCTCTTCCCGCCTACGAAGGAACACTGGCTCTTCGAAGTCATCGGCTTGCATAGTCCCCTGTTGAATGGCTTGGCTTTGTAACGCAACGAATCGCCGCCGTTGGCGTCCCAGGCTCGGACAGAGGATGGTTCGGCCGGGTACGGTGTCTGTAGTTACAAACACACTGTGTTCAAAGTCACTGGAGTATTCGTCCGCATCATCAGGGTCATAGGATCGTTTCTGGCCATTGTTGGCCGAGTAAACGGACTCTTGACTGCTGGGAGGAAGCGAGAACGCATCACCATCGTCAGTGACGATGTCGACGTTATAGTCCCTTGTCTCGGACAGCCGATAGACTGGATTGGAGTGAGGTTGGATGGTGTAGTCGCATGATTTGGAGAGGCCGCAGAAAGAAGCAAGTTCCCCGCGGACGGTGGGAAAGCCTCTACCGGTGGAATGCTCATGCTCTGCGGAGAGAGCGATGGTACTGGTAGGTGCATCGAACATCTTCACACCCTTCGTCTTGTAACCTTCAGCGACTGATTTGCGGACGCGCATGCCGACGGAGAGGAGAGAGGACTGGATTTTGGCGGGGACAATGGGGGTGGGAGAATGGGTAGCGGCGGCATAGTGGTTGTGAGAAAGATGGGGGCTGCAGGCAGCATCTGTGCCATTTGAGTCGGACACAGCTGGAGAGAAGAAAGTTGTAATAGGCGGTTGGAATCGTCTGCGCTTGGAGTCTAAGTTGCTGTTCTGCGCAAGAGACATCTTGATTGGAATATGATGGTGATTGATCTGGAGATCGCAGTGCGAAGCAGTGGAGTGGAGAGTTCCTGCAATTAATGTTGCTCTGTAGAGCTACAGTGACCAATAGAAGTAGGTTGTTTGTCACAGAAATCAGCGAGAGATTTCAAAGAGGTTTAGGGAAGAACAAGGCATGACTGGCATGCAATAATACGGATGAAGAGAGTAGTTATGCGGAATGAATTACGGCAGGAAATTAGGAGGTTGGAATACCCTTTCTATTGGTGGGAAGAACGCGACGCGGTGACGCGCTGCATTATGTCACGTGTCATTCTGGTTTTGCCGTAGATCAATATATCCCAAATAGGGCTCAGGGTTGGCTAGGCTCGTCCATTGCGCATGGATAGAGATGGTAAAGGTACGAGGCAGAGCTGACTTTCAGGAGACGTATCCCATCTACCTAGAAAAAAGAAAAAAAATAAATTGACAAGGGTATGTTTTACAGAAGAATCTCTGGAATCCGTAAAACCCGGGTCGCGAAACTTCAAGTCTGAAAAAAGTAGATCGAACATTGGTATCTAAACTTTTCGGCCGTTGTAAGTTCTCTCCTCGATGTTATCCTATATATACTAAGATCCGGTGTTTCCTCTCCTACCACCACGCTTTTGCCGTTGCTGGTGAGCACGCAAGACGTTTCGTGTTTCCACAAGACTTCTCTTGCCCTTGCTCTTCGCTTTTCCTAGAGTCATGAAGAGATTCTTTCGGCGCGCCTTCTCCTTGTTGGTAGTACTCTTTCCCTGCGCTTCCTTGCGCTCCTTGCGCCGTGCGGTCACACTCTTATACTCGGACCGATCCTTGCCTTCCTTAGCATGAGCGATGCGCTCTTCGCGCGTTGCTTTGCCGGCAGACAGAGCTGCCAGACCTTCAATCTCTGCGGCTGTCAGTGGATCATCCGCATGACGGGAAGGCCCATTCTTCTGATCAGAGCGGAGTCTCTTTGGAAGTAAAGAATTGACGGCCGCCTCGCTGCGCAGCTCTGCGAGTTTGGCCAGGTCGGCTGGCGTGAGAATTCGCGTGGTTGCAAGATTCGTCTTCTTCGTCTCGGGTCTGGCAGTCTCGGAATTGGCCTTGTCCTCTTCCTCATCGCCTTGTTTGGCCTTCTTCGCAGGCGGGGATTGGTCATCATCTGAGTCGCTCAGCTCGATTTCCGCATCGCTCTGCACATCAATCCATCCACCGGAATCATCGCTATCCTCGTCGTCTTCAATGTTCCACTTATCCCAGGCTGCATCGTCTTCCGCCTCATCGTCCTCATCATCTTCGGCATCAGAGGGCAGACCCTTCTCGATTCTCCGTTTTCGGCGCTCTTCCTCCTTCCACTTCTCCAGCAGCTCAAGACCTTCGATCTCGCCAGTCTGTTGCTCACCGAAGCGGCGCTCTTTCTTCTCTCCAGCCCGCAAGCTCATAGAAGCCTCCTTACCACGGTCCCGTCTCTTGAGCATATCCGCGCCGACATCTCTGTACAGACTAAGTAATCCTCTGGCAGCCATGACCACGCCCTTGTCTTTACTCTTCCTGTACATGACGAGATCCTGCAACAAGGTTTCGTTCATCGCTAACGGCTGTCGGGCGCAAATCTCTCGGATGGCGTTGAGGCCGGCTGTAGCCACCTCCGACGCTGCTGCTTCAGAGACAAACTCATTTGCGATCTTCTGCACGAGAGGCTCCAGGACATCAGGTGGAACCAAATCATGTGATGCTTGAGCAAGGGAAGCCAGGAATGATGTCACGGAGGCCTGACGTGGTGTGAGATATTTTTGGAAGTAAGAGTACAGATGCATGATATGCAGTCTGTGCAACCCGACGAGACGAGAGACAAGTTGTAGAACGAGGAGCTTCTGCTCCAAGTTCAAGTTCGACTTCGTATTCTGAAGGTGTTTCGCGAATAACGCCTCCGCGAATCCTTGGGGATCGTGCAGAAGATGAAGGGCAGAGAAGTTCAGAGGATGCGGTTGGTTCTTCTTGCGTTCTCGCTTCTTGACTATGGCTTTTGCCTTCTCGACCGCGCGGGACTTCTTTCGGGTCTTCTTGTTAATCCCAACCTGATGCTTCACTCTTCCAAGGTCGATGGTCTCCTCATCACTGCTCTCGTCTTCCATCTCCTCTCGTTCCTTGTCGCCGCCCAAGAAGAAACGGACACCACCAACTATCACTTTCTCGTTTTCTGACAGACAAGCCTCTTTCATGACTTCAACAGCCTTAGCATCGGTCCAGATCTGCCGTTTCCATAGTTCGCGCGTGAGCTTGATTGCCCACAAGCCTTTGGAAGAGGTGCGGTCGGACGTAACCAAGTTGAACAGGACGGTCTGCATAGTCCGGTTAAGCTTGTGATTCGTTGTTTTGGCGTTCGATGAGCGCAGGTCCATGAGAATCTTTTGGAAAATGAGGGCCCGAAGAGTTTTGCTTGGTGTTGTGATCAGAATAGGGAACAATGTCTGTAGCAGCCTATATACGAAACAGCTGGATTAGTCCAACATCTTCCAGTAAGCACGACATTATCTAAGTTCACTTACGTCGCAGAATCAAGCAATTCCTTCTTTCGAAGCAGCACTAAGCTTCCGACAATTTTTTCACGCAGTTCGGGTTCCAGAACCAGATGGTGCTGGGTAAGGATATCAATGAGCTGCTGGGAAAAATCCTTCGTTATAGTTGGATAGCAATCGGCAACATGAGCGATAAAATCAATCAATTCTCGCAGTGAAATGATTCCGGTATCAGTGGCAGCCGTTGGCGCTGCCATGAAAATCTCTCGATGGCTCTCATATTGGTAGTGCTGAGCCCGAAAGTCCTCGATATAAGACCTGAATACCGCGCGCTCATGTTAACGGCCTGTGAAATCCAAAAGAATACAAGAATATCGTGCGCCAGCAACTCACTTGGGATCTCTGCGAATTTTATGCTGTAGATTGGGCCTGGTAAGTCAGAGTGTGTTAGTGGCGAGCTGAAACTTCTTTCACGTTTCGATAGTTGTAAATCGGGACGAAAAATGCAACTTACAGGTCAGCTTCGACCTTTTCCAAGGCCCCCAACTTCCGTTTAACCATGATCTCGAATTATTGCCTGATAATTCAAGCGTTGCAGGTTAGGGAAGCAGTGGTGGTGGTGGGAATTTGATAAGTCGAAAGCTCCGAAACTTACCTCCCCAAAAAAGTTTCGATAAGCGGTCACCCTCCGCACCGCAGCCTACAGATTAACTCTACAGCCTTAATTATTTCTGTCCGGTGAGACGACATGAATTAAATGGCGAAAATCGACTATGGATCTACTCGACAGGCAAAAGTACTGCCCACCAATTTCTCCTATGACAAGTACTAAGCACTCACGGAGTTGGGAAAATTGGACTAGAGATGAGGTTTCTAAGGAAGAAAAGGAGTAATCAACCTATTATACCTGGATGATTTCATAATCGCACTCCAACTACGAAAGAAGAGAGCCGTCCGATTTCATTGATTTTTTTGGATCTCACTCCCTCCGTGACTGTCTTGAGGTATGTACAGTCGCGCAGATTCATGCAAATCGACTGAATCCTTAATGAAGCCCCGTCCACTCCAGTAAACATAAAACCAGGAACAAACGGAGAACACGCCCAATCATTACCCCTTTACCGGTTGCTCTTGGCAACACGCTCGAGCTCGTCCTTCTTCTTGATGGCGTAAGAGTTGGAGCTTCCCTTGGCAGCGTTGATGAGCTCTTCAGCCAGGCACTCGGCAATGCTCTTGATGTTACGGAAAGAGGCCTCACGAGCACCGATGGTCAGGAGAGCGATGGCCTGGTTGACACGGCGGAGAGGAGAAACATCGACAGCCTGACGACGGACGGTACCAGCGGAACCGATACGAGTGCTGTCTTCACGAGGACCGCAGTTGACAATAGCGTCAACAGCGACCTGGAGGGGGTTCTGGTCGGTCATGATGTGGATCTGTGAAATTAAAGACGGAGTATCAGTAATTTGTCCCTGGCAGACATCGCCTGGCAGAGTTCCAGGTTCTCGCGGAAAATGCACGTACGATCTCGAAAGCGTGGGCAACGATGCGGACAGCCATGAGCTTCTTGCCGTTGTTGCGACCGTTCATCATGAGAGAGTTGGTCAGGCGCTCAATGATGGGGCACTGAGCCTTGCGGAAACGCTTAGCGGCATAACGACCGGCAGTGTGAGGGATGTAGACGGGGTTGCGGATCTGGATGTAGTCGCTGTATTTGTGAAGCCGAGTCAGCAAATTTGCGTCTGTCAACCCCAATGCTATCCAATGCTTCTATTCCCAGTCTTGTGTGCGCGGATATTTCCATTCTTGTACGAGTCGAATGTCTCCCATCGAAATTGGAACCCAACCCGGCCAAATAAAATTTCCTTTCGCAGCACGTCTGAGTCGCAGGGATTTTGGAATCAAACACCTACGTCAAAGAGATATCCCGGATCTCAACATCCTCGTAGCTCCACTTGTTGAACAGCTTGACGGTGCCCATCTCGGCAAGAGCGTCCTTAGGCAGAGCCTGGAAAGCCCCAGAGGGGTTTTCGACCTCGACTTCCCCGTGATCAGACATTGTGACGCCGTATGCACCTGTTGTCGAGGGAGGGATTCGTGAAGGTGACGGACGGTGTCGTTGGGTGAACCTTCAATGTCGTCGATAGCAGTCGGTCCGCTGAAAAGGTTCGCTCGCAACAAGGAAAATCGAGGTGCGCCTCGCTTAGCACTGTGGGTGGGTTAGGGCAGGGCCGGCGCCAATCATCCCGCCGAGATCATGTGATAACAGTTTTGTCGCTCCCGCCGATTTAATCCATATTAGGACTAGTCGAGTTTATTGCATTACTACTTACTACTAAGGTAAGCAAGAGCACTATCATGCAATGTCTCCTGGAGGCAATGGTCATTCGAAACCAGTATGTGGGGATTTTTGAGGCCCATTTATCTGCACTTCTTGGATGGTCATATTGCATTCATCGCCACTGAGCGAGTGATATGGTACTGGTAACTCTAACGCCCTCCAATTGGTGGTACAATCGTCGTCATGGAGGACTGGACTGTTGACCATCCCTTGCGGTTATCGGCCCTTGTATTCAACATTGAGTATCGACGTGGCGTAAAATATAGAGACAAATCACTGCAATTGGGATCCGTCATTCTGTCTCATCTTCGACGATATTGATGCGTCGTCCATTCAGACAGTATCCCGTAAGGTACGGAGTACATTCCTCGCTGTACCTTGCCTATGTAGTTTGTTCATTCGAGGAAGAAAACAGTCGGTGAAGATGATTAGTATACTGGTGAAGATCTGTCATCAGGATTGATAGAAGTTGAACTTCGACAACAAGTATACGCAGGCACGATACACCAATGGTTGGATCCATTCGTCTCTTACCTTATTATTCGTGATCTATACCCACTCACGCATCTCAATCTAAGCATTTCAAAGACGGGAACAATTCCCCTCCCATTTGTGGCGGTGCACGTGGGCAAGCCCGATCATTGGTTAGTGTGTTTTGTGCGCTTGGCCCTGGCACCCACGGCAGGTGACGTTGTGGCTAACCGAAGCGCGGAGAAGGAGAACAAGTTGATACAACCTGCCACAACTGGTCCTCCGTTCTGCTGCATCATCATCATCTTTGCAAGGACCCCCCTATAAGACCTGGTGAAAGAATTCCAGTCGGTTACGCCTTGGCCCCTCGTATTGGAATTTGACTGCTTCGTGAAGAAGGTATGAACGACATCCCGCATCTCCTCATATGCGCACCCGAATGAGAGACGTCGTAATCTATTCTTACCAAGCGCTTCTGTGAACATGGCGGAGGAGAATCCCGAGCTCCAGGCCGCTTTGCGGGAGCTCGATAGAGAACTCGAGGTGTGTAATCAATATCAGTTGTTTCCTCCATCATGGAAGTTGTTCCAGATCGACTGTATCACATCATAATCTGTGGCTAATGCGTTAATTGGTGATTAGGAGGGGGATATCACGGAGAAAGGGTAAGCGACACTCATCGGATGAAGCTATGATCGTCAATTACAATGAGACATGAGGCGATAGGAACTGCCATTGTCTGATCATTCACACCGAAGACTAACTCTCTGAAGTTACCAGAAACGGCGCACGCTACTCCTTTCGCAATTTCTCGGTCCAAACAAGCCGCTTGAGATCAACGCATCTTCAGAAAGTCCGTCGTCGCCAATAAGCAGCTCAAACATTGCTCCACCGGCCATACTTAGTGTTCGGCCCCCTACGGCGGATTCCGCGAGCCGAAATGCATCTTCGCAATCCTTTGCACAGAATAACATACCTGGTAACGGAAGCTTCGGATACGACCGGCGAGTGAGCATGGGCACACAAGGCTCTATCCAAGATGATAGTGCGTTTCAATACAATAGAGATAGTATGGCATTACAGCCCCCTGAGCGGATGCCCTCCTCTACTTCATACGATTCCCTTTTCCTTCCGAAGCCGCAAGCGCCTCCAATCGCGCAGGAGGACTCTCGAACCGCAACACTTTTGAGCCAGAACTATGCCTTTAACCCTGGAGCTTCCGAGCATGTGGATGAATCTGCCGGAGCTTACGACATGACACCCGGCGCGGTCACGCGACAATCTACGATGCTCGATTCCCAGCAAGCATACTTCTCTGACTTTGCGGGCCAGCAGCAGGGTGACTATAGAGACAGCTATGGAGGTGGATTCCATCGCTACTCTCAATCGGACACGTTTTCTCCAACGGCAAATATGGCGCCGCCGTTAATTCCTGCCTCCGAATTACCTCACGGGGCGACTATCAACCACCTGCTTCCCCTCGAGCCTCGCGATATACCTTTTGCGGTACACGACCCGCACGACAAGAACACTCTAATGTCCAATTTTGACAACATCCCTGCAGTACTTCGGCACCGCGCTAGAGTACATCCTAAGCAGCCCGCTTACTGGGTCCTAGACCAGAAAGGCAAGGAAATCGCTTCCATCACCTGGGAGAAACTTGCCAGTCGCGCGGAAAAAGTCGCTCAAGTCGTTCGCGACAAGAGTAATTTGTACCGTGGTGACCGCGTGGCTCTTATTTACCGTGATTCAGAGATCATCGAGTTTGCTGTTGCCCTTATGGGATGCTTCATTGCTGGAGTTGTTGCTGTACCCATCAATAATCTCGAAGACTACCAGAGTCTCAACCTGGTTCTCACCTCCACTCAAGCGCATCTTGCTTTAACAACTGAGAACAATCTCAAGAGTTTCCAGAGGGATATCACGATGCAGAAGCTGAACTGGCCCAGAGGGGTAGAATGGTGGAAGACCAATGAGTTCGGCAGCTACCACCCAAAGAGAAAAGATGATATTCCGGCCCTTGTGGTTCCCGACTTGGCTTACATCGAGTTCTCACGGGCTCCAACTGGGGACATGCGCGGTGTAGTCATGAGCCACCGGACAATCATGCATCAAATGGCTTGTCTTGGCGCTATAATCGCAACTGTTCCTGGCTCAGGTAAAAGTGTCCGGCCGCATGGAGAGACCTTAATCAGCTATCTCGATCCAAGACAAGGCATAGGGATGATTCTTGGCGTCCTTCTTACTGTGTATGGTGGCCATACGACCGTCTGGCTTGAGGATCGAGCCGTCGAGACTCCAGGCTTGTACGCTCATTTGGTCACTAAGTATAGGGCCACACTCATGGCTGCGGATTACCCTGGGCTTAAGATCACGGCGTACAACTACCAGCAAGATCCAATGGCCACGCGTCACTTCAAGAAAAACTCCGAGCCTAACTTTGAAAATGTGAAGCTTTGTCTTATTGATACGTTGACTGTCGACGCTGAGTTTCATGAAATTCTGGCTGACAGATGGCTGCGGCCCATGAGAAACCCCAGAGCTCGGGAAATTGTCGCCCCAATGCTATGTCTGCCGGAACATGGCGGTATGGTGATCAGTGTTCGGGACTGGTTGGGAGGAGAAGAGCGTTTAGGCTGCCCTCTGACTCATGAGATGGATCCGGCTGAGCGTTCAGAAGCCGCAGAAGCCAAAAAAGAGGAAAGAAGGTCCGAAAACAACAGTGGTTTCGGTAGCAGCCTTCTGGGTGGCGGTGCGCGTGCTTCTGCTCCTGCTCCAAAAGAGCAGAACAAGAACGAGCTGGGCGAAGTACTTCTCGATAAAGAGGCTTTGAAGAGCAATGAGGTTGTGGTTTTGGCCATGGGCGAGGACGCTCGGAAGTACGCAGCGACCATGCCAAATGCTGTGCGAGTCGGCTCTTTCGGCTACCCAATTCCTGATGCGACTCTTGCCGTTGTTGACCCGGAGACCAATTTGTTATGCACGCCCAATGTGATTGGTGAGATATGGGTTGACTCGCCATCTCTTTCTGGCGGTTTCTGGGCATTGCCCAAGCATACGGAAGCAATCTTCCACGCACGGCCTTATAAGTTCGAAGAGGGTAACCCCACCCCTGTGCTGGTGGAACCCGAGTTTCTACGGACTGGTCTCCTTGGCTGTGTGATTGAGGGAAAAATCTTCGTACTAGGTCTCTACGAAGACCGCCTCCGACAGAAGGTAGAATGGGTCGAGCATGGGCAGGAGATTGTTGAACATCGCTACTTCTTCGTCCAACACATGATTGTCAGTATTCTCAAGAACTTGCCCAAGATACATGACTGCACTGCCTTTGATGTGTTTGTCAATGATGAACATCTTCCGATTGTTGTTTTAGAGTCATATGCGGCATCGACCGCACCAACGACTTCGGGTGGTCCACCTCGGCAACTGGATTCCGTGCTCCTCGAATCTCTGGCGGAAAGATGTATGGAAGTCTTATATCAAGAGCACCACTTGCGAGTCTATTGTGTGCTTCTCACGGCGCCGAACACACTTCCCCGTGTGACTAAGAACGGACGCCGGGAAATCGGTAATATGCTCTGTCGCAAGGAATTCGACGCCGGAACTCTGCCCTGTGTGCATGTGAAGTTCGGTATTGAACGATCGGTCATGAACCTGCCGGTTGGCGTCGACCCTGTTGGGGGAATATGGTCTCCCTTGGCTTCGGCGACGCGGCAAGAGATGCTTGCCATGCAAGAAAAGCAGTACTCGGGAGTGGATTACCGCGATGTTGTGATGGATGATCGCACCTCCACGCCTTTGAACAACTTCGCAACGATCGTGGACCTTCTCCAATGGCGTGTCTCCCGCCAGGCAGAGGAGCTGGCTTACTGCTCAATCGACGGCCGTGGAAAAGAAGGCAAAGGCATCACCTGGAAGAAATTTGACTTGAAAGTCGCCGCTGTAGCGATGTACTTGAAAAACAAGGTCAAAGTTCGACCTGGAGATCATCTTATCCTGATGTACACGCACTCGGAGGATTATGTCTACGCCGTGCATGCCTGCTTCTGTCTTGGTGTCGTTGTCATTCCCATTGCTCCGATCGACCAGAACAGGCTAGCAGAAGACGCCCCTGCATTCCTCCATGTGATCAATGATTTCAAAGTCAAAGCAATCCTCGTCAATAGCGACGTTGACCACGTCATGAGACAAAAAATCGTTTCCCAGCATATCAAGCAGTCCGCGCAGGTCCTCAGGATTGGTGTGCC